GGTGAAAGGAAACACAAGTGAGTGAAAGGTGACCCCTTGTGTGCACAGAAATACAAACATTCCAGTTGTATATGAAATTCTTGGATTCTGCTACAGGAAGATATCTTCATCTCTCTTCTTTCTGCATCAGCCAAGAACGGTAAAAGAGAAAGTACAAATCTGTTTTGCTTCCTCTTTCTCTGCACATTAGAAGCAAGCAGTACTAGATTCCCAGGTAAAGCCGCCTAGAATTCTTCAAGAATACCATCCAATGCTTAGCTTTGAAGAAATCCCCACCCTTCCAGCTTATACAGGTGAAATGTGCATTGGGAAGAGGTGGAAACACGCACTTGCTAATGTATTCTCCAGTCAGGATGATTCCACAGGTTTGGCACTTGAAGCAGCTGACATGCCACTGTTTTTCTAAGGCCAGGAGGGACTGACCTTGCTTGATCTCCTCTTTGCAACCTGCACATTCTAGGGAACAAAAGAAATATAGAGAACTAACCACACAGCAGAAGTAGGAGCATCCTGAATAGATTTAAAATCTGTACAGAAGACAACAGCATCTACAAATGTCATGCCTTCGGGAACCATAAAGAATGAAACATGAAGGACAGACATTAAGCAAAGGGTTCAAATGTTCAAAATGACTTATGTCATACACAGGACTATTTCCAGGTATGGAACAAACAAATGTCTAGTAAGAAAGGACCTCTACTTTGCATAAGAGTCAATCTGGAGAACCTCAGTTGCATGATTTTCCCTACAGATAGACAACTATCCAAGACGGAGGTGTCCACAGGACAGACCAGCTCCCACCCCTCCCATTGTGATCGACCACGCTGGCTAGGAAGGTTGACAGGTGTGACTCCAATGTATCTGGAGGCCATCACATTGGGGGAGCCAGTTATGCGTAATTTAAAAAGCCATGTGAATATTTCTCCTGGGTACCCTTACTCTGGGTATGATCTTGGATTTGTTGATAAATCACTGTAACTCCAAACACTTTATAACCATATTTATAAAGCAGCTCCTTACAGCAGCATCAGCAGTATGTTATTAGAGTCTATAAACCTAGTGGAATATTCAAAATGTTCAGTACTGTGTCCACATTATGAGATAGCATTGACAGTCTTGGAAACTATTTACACATGTAAATTCTTGTTCAGGCCTTATCTGAGGGAAGTTAACAGAAAAGTTAAAGAAAAGTGAAGAGCTGTCTTAGCAAGATGGGTGGCTATATGTATTGAATGAAATAAATAAATTATAACTACATTAACATGCCAAAACTGTTTCAATATGAAATATATCTACCTCCTCCACATTAAAAGATTCAATTATCCTGAATAATTCTAATTGCAGCATACAGATATTCCACTCAGTTTTATACTGAGTTGAGTGACTTTCTGTTTTAGTTTGTTTTTATGGAATAGGTTTTTGTGTATTTGACTGTTGGCAAATATAAATTATGTTAACACAAAAAACCTGAAGCATTTGAGTCAGCTGTTGTCATCTTCCTTTCCTGGAGAATTACAGATTATCATTCTGGATCCTGCTGCTTGAACCAATTGAGATAGCATATTGCAGGTGTACATTTGCTTTGGCAAAAAAGAAAAAAGAAAGAAAAAGAAAAAAGAAAAAAAACCCACAACATCTAACCAAGAGTCAACGAGAACCCGACATGTTTGCCAAGGAAAACAAAGAACGACTGTATTGAAACAACCAGAGTCTGATGGCATTACAGACCACTTTCTTTAATGGTCATACCACATTGAACTATTTAGATCAAGGATGGCGGAGTGGAGGTCATGGGTTAAATATTTCTGGAAGGCTCCATTTGTTTTAGAAAATGTAGAATAGAAGGAGATTTTTGGATTTAAGCCAGTGTAGTAAAAGCTGTTTCCTAACCTCTGTCTACCACAGCCAGACTTGGTCTGCACTTGAGTATTTACCCCTCTTCCTTCCTTTCACATTTCCTTTGCTGCTGTTCAGTTCAGTAGCAGGAAGCACACGGGCCTAAATGGGGTGGCTGTCTCTGCTTTGATTGGTTCTTTCATTCTGTCTCCTCAACATCAAAAATCCCCTAGATTGTCAAGGAGTCACTCTGACAAGTAGGATGCTCATCGGAATGGTCAATAGCTGTGGAAAATCTTGCCAATACATGCTATGGAATAAGCTGTTGCCAAAGGTATTTAATGAAGTAATTCTGTCTGCCACTGCATTTTCACCTGACACGCCTCTAAGTGCTGGAGGGGTTGTTTAAAAATGTGAAGTAGACTGACAATCTCTTCTGATCGCTCTCCTCTCTCATCACCCACCTGTCAACACAATCCCTGGTGTGCCATTTGTCCTGGCAGTGGATTCCACTGCTAGGGTAGCTTCAGGGAATCTTGGCCATACATGTACATCCAGCAATATGTTAATCCCAAAATCTTGCATGCGAACAAGGTTCTCTTTCTGCCTTGCCTTCTGAAATCTCTGCTAGCTGTCATTGAACAGGACCCACGGAGATACAGTGAAAGCAAGAGCTAATACAGAAAAAACACTGGGGAGATGCTGTTCTTTGCCCATCATATTCTGAATGTTACTTGCCGTAGTTATGAATTCTCTATACAGCCTTTGTGTAACCTGAGCTGTACAGCTAAGGTGAGGAGTGAGTTTCAGAGGAAGATGTAGGCTTCATGTGACCTGACAGTATTAAAGAGAACAAGGAGGAGAAGTGTGGGGAAGCGGGGAGAGGCAAAAAAGATATTGTGGTCTTGCAGTGGTTTTTCTCAGGGGTTTCTTAACAGGTTCCTGGAAACGGAGTAGGGACGGAAGAGATGAGCACTTTTTTGTGTGTGCTGATTCAGCAGATTTGTCCTACACAACTCAATTCACTGTGGCTTGTTTCTGAATTTTCAGCTGCAAGAAGAGCCGGGCGTTAGGGTGGGATGCAGTGAAAGGTCCGCTCTCTTTGAGATCTGGATACTCTTCTTTCTCAGGTAGGTATGCAGAATCACTCTAAGCAGTCACATTTTAATGCCGGCTTATCTAGTTCATCTTCTGGGAACCTCTAACATATCCAGTTATTACACTTCTCAGAATTTTATAACATAATTTGCAACTCGAAAAAATAAGGGCAATAATATATATGGGGGGGAGGTGCAGATAAAATGTATTAAACCAGGGGAGGTTTCTTCCATTGGATGTTATGAAATGTGCACAGACGGCATATACCACAAAAAATGGGTACAAAGCTGTGCATATTCGAATTATACATGAGATATGCATCCACATGTTTGTGCAGACTTTTGAAAAAACAGAGAAATGGGACAGAATAAAGGTGTAGAAAAGAAAAACAAAAAGTACCAAGCAAAATCTACTTTGACAGTGGTATCTATCCATACTCCCATCATATATTGTAGAAAAAGTATTAGCCAGCTTCAAAATATCTTAGCAGTTTAATGGGATGTCATTTGTCCTATGCATAATATTAAACAGCACCTTGATTTTACTAATATCACACCACTAGGAGCAGGGTCAGACAAAGCCATTTTGATGCAAAAAGAATCTCAGCGATGTCCCTCTCTTGCTAGATAACGTGGGACACAATTCACCAGGAACCCCTGATGCGCCAACCTGCATGACCTCCCATACTCTGCACACAATCTCCATCTGTTTCGAAGAAGCATCTTGTGAATGGCATTTGTGGATTCCACACATGTATTTCTAACCTTAATACCATGAGCAGAAACCAACTCAAGAAGCCACATCATTCTATCCATGAGCAGAAACTTTGAAGCATTTGAATCTGAAAGGAGAACTGCTACTTTCATTGTTCCGAAAAGGTTCATCACAGAGACAAACGCTGAACCAAGGGGTAGAAAAGAAGGATGTTTAAGATTCTATCACCTTCTGTGGCATTGGTCGATTTAATGAGGCATCCTTTATCAAAATAGTAAAGCACAATAACAACAGTGCAGTCATTATCTGGAGGTGCTACAAATACAGAAACTAATGAGGAGAGGGGGCTTGGTGCTTGAGTACACATTTCCACTTTCTATTATTTTAATGGATACAGATTGGTGGGATTACAAGACCTGCCCCCCTTGTGGCCCCTATGGGACATCTGCGTTCCATGAAAACTTTAAAAGCAAAACAAGCCTGTCTTGGACAGCTTCTTCTTTAGCTCAACTCAGCTGATCTGGGAACAGAAATACAGCACCTCCACCCTTTTTCCTGGAAAAAGGGTGAGCCAACACTGTGGAATTCTTGTTGACTTTGACTTTCTGATTTTCCTGCACTAGGACAGCATTTTAAAGACTGAAAATAGGAGCAGAAAAGAAATTACCTTTTCCAAATGCAGCTACACTACAAATATCATGTTGCTGTAGAAACAAAGACAGAAATTTGACTTTTACCATCTTGACCCATGTAGGCCACGATCCAGCTGAGAGTTCTGCATGTATCAGTGACTTAAATCAACAGGCTTATGCGCTCTTAGTTCTCCTGTTGAATTGTGTCCACTGTGTTCTTGTTTGGCAGCTTCGAACAGCTCCGCCAAGAGCAAGTTGTCACAGGGAAGTACTGTTTTGTGATTATAGTAAGGAATACTGTGCCATTCTTCTCTTAGTAATCAATGCATCTAAGGAGACAGCAACATCTATTGCCTCCACTCTGAGATCACACAGCTTGCAGAGCAATTGCGTCCAGCTGGTTGGCAGCCCAGTAGAGATTGCTCATTACAAGGCTTTTAAAAGAGTTCCCTGTTTATATGTTCAGTAAGCAAACTGATGCCACCATGTAACTTGAAGATGGCTTTTGCTTCTGGGTCCTTTTCCAGCCACAGATCTCAGTATGATCTAACAAGCTACAAGCAAGGAATGTCTCTCCCCCACTCAGTGATTCTTGCAACTGGGGGGTGGAGTGGGGGCATGCTTAATTCAGGGCTTGAATGATGAAAGAATCCTGAACAGAGAGAAAGCAAAGGGGTCTTTTTCCACATAGGAAGCCCACAGCCTTCCATGAGGAAACCTGAGGTGTGCAGTAATGGGAAGGGGCCTGAAAGGCCATGTTCTGCCAGGGAACTAAAGGCCTTGTGGGTCATGGACTTTTCATAAATTCATCTGTGCTTCAGTCCAACTAGGTCAACAAGAGAGAAACAAATAGCAGCTGAGACAACTCCAACTGTGGCACTTCCTTCAAGTAAAAGGCTTCACCAAGGCATGATCATTACAAGAAGATCCTGCTCTAGCATTTTGAGCCTTCCAGTATGTGAACGCTCATCAAAAGTTCAGTGTAACTAAAAGAATAAAAAGTATGAGGCTACTCTTAATGTAAAACATAGGTAAGCTATATCTCCAAATCCTCTCTGTGTGGCCCTTAGAGTCCCCTCTAATTGGGAGCACAGTTTCCTCCCATTTTCAGATGGGAAATACATGAAAACTGTACTGTAAGTACTAAAGAAGCATATCAAACTCAGCCCTACTACACCCACAAATATGGTATGATTGTTTCCGGATTGTGGTCTTGACCTCCTCTCCCCCCCCAACAAAAAAAGTCAAACGCACCCTTTGGTCACCATGGATATACATGTTCACATTTGTGTATTTCATTTATTCTGAGTTTTTAAATCATCATCATCATCATCATCATCATCATCATCATCATCATC